CTGCCAGCTCCTTCTCTGCAGGTGGGCTGCTTGGCCACTGGCTTGCACTGGTGCAATTCATTATTCCTGCCCACCCGCAGCATTTTAGGCTTGCAAAATGTTTGAATGTAGAGTCCTCCCTTCCCCTCCTCCCTTCCCTTCCCCCCGCCCCAATCCCGCTACAGGAGATGATTTTCAACATCTGAGTGCTGGAATAAAAGTGATTAGAAACTACTACTATAGTCTCCTCTGCAAGACTTTCTGCACAGTAACCATGCTCTAGAAATCCTGTCTAATTTGGCATTTCTGTGGACGCTGCGCAGCTTGTTTCCAAGCTGATGCAGAGGATAGTTCTTGTTGCTAAGTTTTATGAAAGCCCCTTCCTCCCGTCTCCATAACAAAATGAAAAAGAGCAGTGAAATGTGTGAAAATCATAAGGAAAGAAGAGAGTATTTATAGGAGCTGGGTCTTGTGAGATAGGGTTCTAGCTGGAGCTCAAGATTCTTGTACTTTGGACTAAACTTGTAGTTGCAAAGAGTACATCAAAGCACAGCGCAGAACCTTGTAGCTTCACACTGTAACACACTGGTTTTATAGCAAACTTGAGACAAAGAAACTGGTACATAAGATAAAACCGACAAGTTTGTAACCTGAGACCTTTCCAGAAGGACCATCCGCAAGCCACAGTAGCTGGGAGGTTGAACAAACCCATCCTGCCTCATAACTTAAAAAATGTGCACTTTTGCTCATACCGGGTGCAGTTTGCTCCTTTATAAGTCCTAGGTCTCCTGTAATTCTCTGTCCTTCTGAGGAGTTAAAATATCTTTTTCCTTCAGCATGCTTCACATATGCAAATACCATTTTGTCTGAAATATTCAAGGATGCAGATGGCTTGGGGAATGATTCAGTATTTTTACCTGCATTGTGAATTCTCTGCACTTAAAGGATTGTTTTTATTTGACATTTAAAAAAAAAAAGAAGTACAAAAAGCTTCTTTGCTCCTCTTCACTACTTGTCTCACTGTCACACTTTCACTCCTTCAGGTAGGAGGCACGTAAGTGGGTAGAGCAAGTAGTGGGAGTGAAGCTTCCATAGTTTCTCAACTTATCTTTCACAAATGCTCAATTTTCACAATATGGGCTGGGAGGTGCAGAGGCGGACCAGAAAGGTGTTTCGCCCATGTGGCGCATATACAAAACTTGATTCTTCATCTTGCCTGCTGGCCTTGGGTAACTTTCAGTGCTTCAGTTGTATGGGCTGTGTTCCTGTACAGGAGTTAATGTTCTAATTGTCTCTTAAATTAGCCTGATTAGCTGGGACAGGGAGACCATGAAATTAAATGCAGATGTTTCTGGACACGGAGACTCCACGCAGAATCCTGTATGCATAAGAGATGCTGGCTTGCAGGGGCATACCTCACGATTCTTCATGCTGGGGTGGACAGGCATGCTCTGATTTCTTTCCTCCTCCCTCCAAATTGGGAGGAACTCAAAATCCCTTTGAGCATGTAACAGAGGGGTAGGACTGTATCCAAATAGCAAAGTACTTAGGCTTGCATCTGCTCAGATGCACTCCTTGACTGTTGCCCTGTGTCCCCAATGAGCCTGACAGCTTCCTTTAATAACAGCAACACACCAGCCTTAACGTCATGTGACTGGAACCCAAATTTAAGGCAGCACTTGGGTTCTGCCATCTTAACCAAGGCAAGGAGTCTTGCTTAGGATATAACTTCTCGTCTTGCACTCTGGGGTCATCATCTGCCTAGCAGCCGTGTCTGTACGGGAAGGCAGGTGAGCAGGCTTAGGCACAGGGCTCAGTAAATGCCACAGAGGGCCTGAGCATGTTACATTTCTGGATATACTTTGGGCAGTAACTGATCTGCTAATAGTTCAGTGTACGCTGTCTGTGTCAAAGAAACCTTTACAAGTTTCATCAGGTAGTCATATTGCCTTTATTTGCCAGAAAAGGAAATTTTGAAGAAAATCACTTTGAAAAAGGCTCTAGATAACACGCTGTGATTTGGGGCACCTTAACCCAGATGCCCAAGCAAGGGTAGGTGACGTCTCTTATTGTGTGCATCACCAGTGAAACACGCAGAGACCCCCTGGGATCACGCGCTGTTGTCAGCTGTGGCTGTCTTCTTCCTTGGGATGGTGCCACTAGCAGGTAGGTTCAGTCTGCAGTATCAGTTGCTCCCTGTACCGTGAGGCTGAGTTACCAGCACAGCTCACAGAGGAGAGGAAAAGGCAGAATGTATCACAAAGCTTCTCTTACTGTCTCAGACTTCAGAATTTATTTTTTTCCTACAGGATGTTTCATCTTCAGCACAGGTTTTATTATCAATCTCAGGCCTAGTCAGCCCTCTCTTGGAAGAAGTCATTCCTCTTCTGATATCAGGAAATGGGTTTAAGCTAGGATTGAATGCTGTAATTTTTCTTAAATCCTAATTAATGTCCTAATCACTTCCCGAAGATCTGATGCAACCTCTGTACCTATTTCTACCCCGCTTCGTAACCCTAATGCACATCGATATGCCTTTAGCAAAGTTCTACATGCCCATGTGTTTAGGCTGAATTTAATGTTGATGGTTAATAAGCCATTTCTTAAACCAGGCAGGAGATAAATAACCATACAGCAAAACTAATAGTTATTCCACAGTGATTATGGGATTGTTATAAAAAATGTTTAGAACTTAAGTTTTGAGGAAAATGCTATTTGTACACTCTTCAAGAGATTTTAATTTAGCCAAAATCTGAGTTGTGCATTTCCCTAGGCCTAAATCAAGATCCTGAAGACTTATTTTTTCCTTGAATTATATGGAGACTAATTTACAGCATTAGAGATTGCCATGCAGCTGAAGATGAATTAAGTTTTAGGGAGTTATGCCTGCTTATGTAACTGAACACTACATCTGCCTGTGCAAGCACTGAAAACAGTCATGAGTCTGCTGGAGTTCATATTTTAATTTATTCTGTAATCGCATTCAAAATATAAATACAATTTTCTTCAGCACTGAACACAATCAGTTAAAACCACTGTTAAGATAGATGAATGTTGACCTTTTTAAACATAGGCACAACTTGATTGGTTTCAATAGAACTATGGCTACTTGGCCGGCAACGCACCTCGTAGACTGAATCACTAGCTCACACCATTAGAATAGTTCCGTTTCTCTATTCTTGGTTATTTCTGGTTACTGGAAGAATTATGCACTCTCTTAACGCTTCAGGCAGTTGAAAGCATTACAAATGTATCAAGTTTTGGATCAAAGCTTGTGCTGTTCCCAGAGCATAATCTAAAGCACTGCTCTACCTTCCAGCAGGCTGCAGTAGAGTATGTTGAACTGCCCCCAATTGCACCAACCTCTACCTGCTGTGCTTGTAAAATAAGCAGCACAACTACAGGCAAGATTCGATGCTGGAGGTTTTAGATGGGGAAAAGAAGCTAAACATGGAAATTGTCTCCTCTTTTAGGCACCTTTCCCATCCACAGAGAGGACCTAGTTAAAAGTGCCAAACATTAGAATATGATAAAAGATAAATTAAAAAAAAAAATTGATCATATAAAAATAATTCTGATGTGTCTATACACGCCCTCTCTCTAGCAAGAACTCATCTCTGCTATTTTTAGGTGCCAAGTTTGGCTTCCCCTCATTCAGGAGCTGCTTTCAGATGACACTCCTATATTCTAGTTTATCTGAAACACTCTTAAACTCAAGTACGGCAGGCAGCTTGTGCCCCACCCTGACAATGAAAAGTACTGGTAAAGCTCAAATTTGTGCCAATTCAGCTACTGTGAGTATGACAGGAATCTAGGTCAAGTAATTTACTTTGCTCCCCACTACCTTCTAACAAGCAAAACAAGGGCTCCTGCGCTCTCTCCCCTCAACCCCCTTCCTGTTTGTGCTGTTTTGGCTCCTTCTAGGCTAGTGTTTTGTAGTGAAAACACTGCCAGGTGGGGAAAGAGGTTCGGGTTGGATCAGTACTTGGTTTCATGGCTTACTTGGTTCTCGGGGTACTCTGGTTAGCAAGAGAGGTTTCAGTAGAAATTGGGTGAAAGGCATAGCTCTGCTTGAAGATCTAAGTCTTCTCAATCCCTACCTATATAAAAAGAAAATAAGTCCTAGTTTCAAACAAATGTAACACTTCTAATGAACATGTCCAGTTTCATAGGAATTCTGTATTACTCTTTAGTTGAGCTGCATGGACAAATGACGGTGTGGGTACCAGCTATGCATTGCTTCAGCAGCATAATCAGCATGCTTTGTCAGTCATTGCTGCACTCATAAGTTATGGATATATTTGGAAGTGTGAGATGTACCAAAAAAAATCCTTAACATTTGCTAGCACCTTCTCTCTGATTTCTCCTAATCTGAGAATTGAAGAATTGCACAATGTTTTCTTGACTTAAAAAATCTGGCTCTGTTCTCTGCCTCCTGTAGTCTCTACTGTTGTTCATTTGAATGCTCAGACTCATTGGCACAGGCAATAGTGTATGTCTGTTAAAACACAGAAAGCCAGTCTGATCAGTGTGCAAGGAACAAATTACTGCAATGCAACATAGGAGGCCTACTTTGCTTTTGGAAACTTTGCCCTCATTCACAAAATCTTTCCATCCCTAGGCCTGTTACTGAAAACAATTCTGCTGATTAAAAAGGAAACTTGCATGGAGAAATGCTTATAAACATCATACATAAAATATGCTACGAATTGTCTTCCATTTAAACACAAGTCTCTTTCTTCAACTGCTCTGTGCTTCATCACCTATCTTCACTGGAAGCCAAAAGCCATTTCTCTGAACACTAAATAAGGTGAGATACTTTGAGAAGTTGGATCAGGCCCTTCTGTTGGCCGTTTAGAACAGGGACTTCTTAAGACTTTTCTGCAGTGCCTAGCACCGTGCAAACATCCTCCAATAAAAGTGTATTGTGCTCCTTTTGACCCATTTCTCCAGCACTGACGTGTCTCTGTGTGAGATTTAAACTGTGCTCTTTACGGAGCAATAGAACTTCTTTTTATCTCTCTCTCTCTCTCTCTCTCTCTCTATCTATCTATATATACACATCTATATCACAACCCCCTCAATTAGTCAGACAGCAGCTTTAAAAAAAAAGGAGACATGAATATTCATATTCACTATACTTTTAGTCTTATAATTGGGAAGAATTAATAGGGTACACTTCACACAGCTTCCTCTATAATCATGTCAATGCTCCTCCTATGGAGCAATACTGCCAGGGCTTTCATACTTGCCTCGGTACCAGTACCACTTCCCACTAGAAAGGAGTGGATCCTCGCATTTAGGAAAAGTGTGTCTGCTTTCACTGCCATTCACACCAAGGAATGAACATCAGATCAGCCTGGGAATTCCAAACACTGGGGGGAAGATAGGAAAAACTGGAAGAGTAACCATGGAATTTAAAGGCAACAGCAGAATATGCAAACCCAACAGGGAGGTAAACATTTCTGCCTGGGAAGACACAGAAGTGAGTTTGATGTCACTGTCCTGAAGTGTCTTAAGCAGTGCTGAATGCTTTAGCAGGTGAAACAAATTGGAAAAGCTCTTTTATTTACATATCCTGTTTTGAACAATGAGACAGAAAAGTCCCTACTGTTCAGAGTTCAGCTACTGTGGCCAGTGTTCAAAGAGCCAATATTGCAGAGGAATAATTTTATTTGACCTTGCCTAATCAATGTCTGTTCAAAAAAATGGGGTGGGAGGGGGGGAGAATACAGGGCGCTCTGAAAATGTTTTGAGGAGAGGGCAAAGTTGCAATTTAAAATAATTTCATCTGAATGTGTTTTTCAGACAGCTTGCTACCAGTGCTTGCATTGTGAAAGTTGGCATTCCTAAATAAATGTTAGGAGCACTAAGATCCAAATAGTTCTCTATGCTTTCTGGATATATGATTAAACTACCAAAGTAAACACAGCTTGCTATTGTCCCTTAGGAATGCATGTATACAACTCGCCCCTGAAACATCAGGGCTTCAAGGTACTTTCCCTAAACTACTATGCAGCTAAGCTTGTCTCTATTAGCACTGGTAAAGCATAGGGATAATTACAGTCTTCTCTTGAGCAAATGATGCATACAAACATTGAACTCTCAAGATAAGCTTTTTCAAGAGACTTCAGCTTCCTAGCAGCGTAGACAGTAAGCTTTTGAATCCCCCCACTATGTACCTATCAGCATCATTAGGTAGCTAAATATCCTTAAAAGTTTGACTCTTCAGCTTCCAATGGCTCTGAGCAACTCTGCAGCTTGAGTTTTCAGCCTTTGGTTGCTCCTGTTCTAAAATGCTTACTTCACTTATTGCAGGTATCAGTCTTGGTATTACCACAGAACACCCTAGTGTGCTGCACCAGCACAGGCACGCTTGAGGTAGCTGGGCCTGGCTACCTGCCCAGGTATGCAGCAAGTCTGTGCTGTTGTGGCTACACCACTGCCTGGGTTGAAGCAAGCTAGTGGACCTGTCTGTAGTTTCAGTAACTTCAGGTTTTTTTGGTTAAGGAATGCAAAAATTAAACTCGTAACACAACTGCATGCCAATCCAAGTAAAAGCTATTTCCAAGCGCAGAGTACTACCTAAGAACTGTGTGAGGTTTGCTATTTTGATGATTAAGCATGTGATTAAAAGCCCACAGAAAACTATGGGAAGACACCTGAGGACTTGCATGAGCTTTGGATCAGCTGTAAGGGCATTTCTTTATCTATGCACTGAGACTGTTGCATACAACAGTTAAGCTACTGTTGCACAACACTGAAGAAATACCAATAATGGCTACTTACTTTAGCTAACAAACATAAGCGAATAGCTTTCTAATGAATAGTATCATTTAAAAATTCAGCTATAACATTCCTATGGTAAATCAAAGCAGATTGTTAAAAACCAAGAATTATTATGGATCAGTAAAATGTATAGAAATTAGATGCACCTGCACAAACTACATAGCTTAAATATTTAAAGATAAAAAAATAGATTATAAAATTACATATTCAATGAGATGCTGCCTGCACAGTGACCTGTACCCACTGAAAATCCTGAGCAGCCTCTGCTCCCAATACTGTTGGTGAGAGCTGACTTCATGCTGCGTTTACAAAGCCCAGGCTCGCGTCTTGTGTTATCCTTGTCGAAGTAGGGGGTTTATATGTTCAAACTATACTTTACACAGCTATAGAGTGTTGAGCAGGAAACAAAATTCTGTGCTGTGAATTAGGAATGTATGCAGTCCGGCTAGGTATCGGATCAAAAAGTACTTTGTGAAGTTGTTTGGATCTCTCTACATAAGGCTTCAGGTATCATTCGGGAATAATACTACTTGCCTCTGAACTGAGTAGCTAACCTATGCTAAACTGTACAATGTAATTCGATTGCAAGAAACGCATGGTCTTCTAAGTCAGTTTAACTATGTTTTCAGTGCCTTTTTGAGGTCAGAGTAGAAATTAGTCAGGGTACTAGCCATGGCAGTGTCCACTGCAGATTGTGGTAGCATCCCTCGCAGTTCAGTCTGAATATAACCCGTCAAAAGACTGTGGCTAGGGTAGTCCTTAAGTGGGACGCAGAACCAACCACAAGGGTGATTGAATCCACGGACAAAATTGGGTCTCACTTCTCCATAGTCTAGGCTTATACCTATTGAGGAAAACAAAAACAAAACAAATTTTAAAAAAAAGAATTTGAGACAGATGAAAAATAAAGGCACAGTAAATCTAAAAAGTACAAGTTCTTGCGTGGGGAATTGAGTAGTAGTGATAGACGCATAAAGTTTTTCGGGTACTTTCATGAATGAAAGTTGTCTATTCTTCATTTAGAAGATGACCGGAACTTGATAATCAGAAATTCTAACATTAAAAAGATATTCCTCTCATTTACTAGCCAGCTGTTATTTCACCCAGTCTGCTGTATGAGCTGGAGCAGATCGCTCAGCTTGTCTCTATCACTCCTGTCCCACAGCTGGTGTAAATGGTACTTCAATACACAGGGATGGCTCATGGATAAGCTGGTATTTGCACACTGCTTTAAATCTGCAAAATGTTCAAATACCTTTGATATACTTCTTGGAAAACATCTTATGCAGTTTTTGAACGCTTAAGTATAAAAGTAGTACAGAACTAAACTAAACTGGAATTATGTCTTAAGCCAAGCAGCTGTTGCAAAATAAGAAATAAGCAGAACTGAATGTTGCCTTACCACATGTTAGAAGGCCATTTTCATAGCTTGTAGTATAAGAGAAATCAACAAACTCTCTCGGTGCTATGATGTTCCAGAGCTGGCCCGCAGTGGTGTAACGCATCACACAGCAATTCTTGTCGAGTGACACAATGAAGAGCACAGGAAAACAAAAAGATCTTTAGTGTAATGAAAGGAAAATTTATGCCTATATGCAGCTAGTTTTTTCCACAAAGGCCATGTCCTTCACTGGCAGCCTCTGTCCTCAACTCCACACTGGGCAGACAACTCCACACTGGGCAGACAACTCCAGTAAGGTCTGAAGGAAGGTGTCATCTAAATGCTGGAAGTTTGCAAGGACTTGCATTCTGCAACTGAGACCTGCAGGAGCTGAGAATATCCGGCACCTTTAAACCATACTGACTAAAACAAGAGAACTGTAAGTCAAGGACTGGGAACTAAAAGCCACGTGGCTTTTATGTGGCTTACCCACCACTTAGCAAGTCTGAAAGGACCAGGAATAAATCCCAGAAGGCCACTTTCAGTACTAGGAGCCTCTGTAAAGCGCTTATAATCCACAAAGTGGATAATAAAGCAGAATGCAAACAAGTCTTCAGAAAGGCATTCGTAAGAGACATTTAGGGTTTCTGTAAATATTGCTTGATCACAAAATTTGTTTTTGTAAATACTTAGCAAAAAACCTTTGCCATATAGCTCTTCCTTAAGCGCCACAGCAAAAGATGATTAATTAGCGTTTATGCCAGAAGCCCACAGACTTTTGAAATTCTGGACTGAATGTCCCCAGTAACCAAAATAAAGCTACCAGCTGGCATATATAATCAGCTTCAAACCTACCTTTCTTCTGCAAGTCCCATCCCTCAGTTTGAACTATTCTGGCTCCCAGCACAAAGCCCTGCCACATAGTGAAGTCAGCCTTTTGGGAGCAGGAAGAGGCTGTAGTTTCTGTAAAAGTATGCGTGGAGTTTTAACACCCACAGTTATATACCTTGTGGAACAGAAGAAAGCAAGCTGCATAAAAAGTCTTTGGGATATAAAATACCACGCTGCAGTTCTCTCTGTATGCAAATTTTTTTCAGAGGGTACTAGAGCTCCCAGATCTGAGAGAATCATGATCTTCCTAGTTTTACTCCTTATTTCCTTATTATCCTTAGTATCCTCATTTCTAGCATTGATGGAAAGCTGAACTTCAGGCTTCAGAATAGGACTGTGAAGACAACCCCCTCCCATCTGAGCTTATGTAAAAAATCACACGCATATATAGAAAAGTGCCCAACTCCTTAGGCTAATGTTCCAGCAAATAGTGATAACTGCTTTGCTGCACTGTTGAATTCACATAGGCACCTATACACATTTTCTTTATGAATCTAAACAAATCTTTACCTCTTCAAATGTTTCTATGATGTCCATTGTAGTCATTAAGCTGTCCCAGTCTAGCCTGTAAGGTCCAGGGCGAATATGATCCACTATTCTGTTAGTAACGTCTTCTACCACTCCTTGAGCTTTGTAGCTAGAGAAACATAAGTTTATATTTAAAAGTGAGAAGTTCTTTCCAAGCCTTCCATTAGTTTGCAACAGCACACTTACTGTGTGCTTACCTTGCTACTTGGGGTTGTAATCAGTATACAATTTTATCAGAAAGGCAGTATGGAAAAAGACCTATTGGTGTATCTATTCCTTTCCACTGCAATAAATGGTATTCTGAGAAGCTTTGTGCTTAAGCTGCAACCTGCGTTTCTGAAACAACTGCAAATTCTTTTCTCCAATGAAAATCATCGTATTTATTTCTAAAACAACTTGTCATTTTGCTGCTGTCTCAGGGGAAGCAAGGGAGTCTTCCAGGGAAAAGTGAAACTAAAAGCAAGCAGAAAAGAGTGCACGGATATGTGGGGAAAAAGAATTTTCATGAAGTAGAAACAACAGCAGTAAAACCAAAATAATAAGGAATTAAGTTATGCCTTGGTGGCCTATTAGACTACCATAGAAGATAATTTGGTGTTAAGCTATTAAACACTAGACTCCTTGCTAATTTGAGATGCCTGGCCTTATGTTGCCCCTCGTGTTGCTCAAGAGGAGAAAACTGATCAGAATCATTATTTTCAAAACATTTCTTATTCATTACACTGCTATTATTAAGAGCAGATAATTATTCAGAAAACACATTCATTTATTCACTCACATTCACTCAGTTATGTGATTGGAGCAAAAGCAGTGAGGCCAACCCCACTCACATGCTCAGAAGTGGAGGACTGCTACATTAACATGCCAGTAGTTTCTAGGCAGGTGTTTGGAAAGTCCCTCAAAAGACCCTTTATTTCATCAGGTGTATATATAACCTTGCAGTCTTCATCTGCATAACGAAGCCATGGCCCTCTCGGCTGTGGTTTAAGTTGCACACTGGATCAGCAACAGGCTGTGTGCTGGTGGCCCTGTACAGATTCAGTAGACTTGGTGTCTGGGCTTAACAGTTCGTACAGATTCAACAGGACTTGTAGTTCCCAGAGCGTATCAGTCCCTGAGATACTTTCAAACACTATACTTTTCCTTTCTTCAGCCTGCTGTTTTCTAGTTACTATTTCTCCTGCTAAACATACAGATACTGCTGTTTTCTAGTTACTATTTCTCCTGCTAAACCTACAGATAGCTATAGAAATCAGTCACAGAAGGTCACAGAAACACACAGATGTGTGTTTATGGCACACATCTTTCCCACAGTTATGTCCTTGATGTCTTACTCTATTGTTGTTGCACAGTTGCTGTGACAGTACAAGTACTGTAAGAGGTGGGCTGTCCCTCAGTAACACCTGGGAGCTACTGAACCTGGACTTGATTCTGTGGTTTACAGATCATCTTTCTAAAAAGTCTGGGAATACAACGTTGTCAACTTAAGCCAATGCGAGTTCTGTGGTATGTTCCATAGTGTTCACTTTTAGTTATTTTAGACAACATGCAAGACTAAAGCTTTGAATTATAAAACTAAAAAAAAAATGGTACAGGCCTTTGCACAGCCAAGAGGCATGGTAAATGATCCACCTAGCCCCTTCATGTCCTAAATTCTCTAAAGCACATTTGTAGAACCATAAAAATGTGTATCTGGTCTGAAGGCAAACTTACAGGTATCCACTGAATTCTTCTGATGGTTTACGCCACACAGTAGCATCTTTCTGAAAGAGAACAAAGTCATGATATTAATTATTATTCACAGACAACTCTACGACATCCAGAAAACGTCACATTTTTCTGAAGAACACTCACTACGGTATATCCCAAAGTGCTCACTGACCTAGTATCTGGGCACTTTTGTTATGTGTGTGTGTTATTTTTTTTTTTTTTTAAAGAACAGAAGCAGATGTTTTGGGCATCTTTTACTGATAATCTTCCATTCTTTCCAGAAATCACTCAAGTGCCTTTCTCAGTATCCAGCTCTAGAAGTCTCTCCAAAAATAGCACTTGGCAGGCTAAGCCAGTTTCCTAGGAATAGAGAGTATAATGGAATCACATTATTACACAAAGCCTTCCAAATAAAAGATGACTAGAAAGTCATTGTCTGGACACTACTCAGATAGGAAGACCACATAACTTATGTTGGCACTTCTGTAACACATGACCAAGCACATGTGTGGCAGGAAGTGCTGACAGTAGCAGACAAGGAAGCTTAAGTTATCCCTCTCTCCTAGATGCCTAACTAGAAGCATCCTGCAAGCAGTGGTCTATTCATTGTAAAGTTTGCCACAGGAAATAAAAATAAAAAAAAAAAAGGTATCCCTTGTTTTTATCTAACTATAAAATGGAACCTTAGTATAAAATCTGTGGACTTAGGTGTTATAAAAGTGCCCTCTGGGATTTTCTTTATTTGGTATCATGAATATGTAAACACTAAGGACCAAACACCCTGTAAGAACAGCAGTGAAGAACAGCATCCTGAACTTTTAAACATATTGAGAGGGAAAGTATCTTCCCTATCAATAAAATCCCCCTCATGCATCTTCCATGCAGGGAGGTAAAGCTCTGGATTTCTTTTTACATGGCAGAAATTAAAAAAAAAAAAAAAAAAAGGAAGGAGGTCCAACTGGGAATTTTACAGGAGTAAAATATGAGGAGTAAGGTGATCTGAGTAGTGAGATTCAGGTAACTTTCTAAAGGAAAATAATGGTATGAGACTTATCATTTAGGAAAGCAGGGTTGAGGTACAAGTTTTGCAAAAGTAAAAGACTTGGGTGCTCTGTTCTTCCCTCTCAAGAAATGACATTTATTACTTCTGGAAATAGTTGAGTTACATTTGGAAAATTTGACCCTGCCTTATCAACGTGCGCTCACAAATACAAGGCTCTCAAAAAGCATTGTAACAAAAGGGCAAAAATACGAATTTACTGTACTACTTCTACCACCTTGCTACACTGAGATACAAAAGCCAAAATTCACTTTTACTTGCTATGCCAGACAGGGCTATAAAGTATTCACTCAGCCTAGGACTGAGACATTGGGGAAGTTTATTTAGCTAGATGGAGTGGGACTCTCAAACGTCAAGCAGCTAAAAAGAAGGGCATGGCAAACCGCTTGAGGAAAGCAGGGACCACCTTCTGCTTTGATGGGAAGAAACTTCTGCTAATGTGGGGGCTCTGATACACTGCTGTAGCTTGAAGGCAATGGAAACAGATGAAGAGATGTGTGAGAGAGAACTGAGGATGATCTCACTTTTTAAGAACAGGACATTAGAGGCTGGAGCATGGTGGGCTCCGGCATTAAAGACAAATGAGATTCCAGAGGTTGTCAGACCATACCTGAAGGTTGTGACTGGACAGTTAGAAAGTACAAGTGAGCATCTCGCAACACTGCTAGCACTAACAGTATTTCAAGTTTTGTTTCAAAGAAAGCCCAGAACCCTACATAGGTAGGATTCCACTGTGAGACACCTTCCTGAAAACTGGTATGAGGAATGACTGAGTATGTCTGCAAAGAGAAGAAAAACTCACTATTACCTAAAGCTGTACTATCCTAGAATGGTTGTTTCACAGGGCCTCTCACCTGACAGCCCTGTAAAAATTTGCCAAATGTTTGATACTTGTGTTACACGGCATCATTTTTCCCCTAAGTGACCTACCCCTTGCTTGACACAACTAATCGTGTCACACGTAAGAAACTCCACCTAGATCACTTACAGTTTTCTTAGCAATCCGCCATTCGCTGTCTCCGATGCTGTGGTACTGAATCAGAGCGTTCTGCAGTTTTGTAGCCAGGGGTTCTGAATTTGGCAGCAGATCCATTTTTTTCCCCTTTCCTGCGTTTAGAAGAAAGAAAGAAAAGAAACCAAAACGGGATACTAAATTAAGGACGTCAACAAAAGCATTACTCATTTAAACCCGCTGACGCCCGCTCACTTTGAGCGGAGGGGGTGGAAATTACCAGTCTCGAAACAAACTCTCCCAGCCCGACGCTTGCTTTGGGTGAGAGGAGCAGGCGGGGCGAGGCA